AAAGATTGAAATTTGACCAATCAAAACAATAGGAGCTAAAATTTCTTTGTCGTCACTGGTCAAATTTTAATCTTCAATCTTCAATCTCAATCTTCAATGCGTAGTCTGATTCCGGCTTAAAAGGACGTCTTATGTCACGATTTTAGATTTCGTTATATACTTATTTTTTAATAAATACACAGTATGGAAGGAAGAAAGAAAAAAATATAAATTGTATAAAAATATATATATAAGTTAAAATTTTGGTTCTGTCATTGTGTACGGTCAGGGCCAAAAAGGTTGCAATACTTTTTTTTCGATGGGGTTCGGAATGCAGCTTGCTCACCGAGTGATTGGTTCTTATTCATGAATCGACAAATAAGAACCAATCGCTCGGTGAATAGGCTGCATTCCGAAACCCATCGAAAAAAAAGTGTTGGAACCTTTTTGGCCCTGAGCATATATTAATTTTCATTAGAAGGCAGGTGGCGTTAACGTTCGTCTATATTTTTTAAAGAGCATATTGGAGCCATTGGAGCACATGTATGATTGCATGGTTAGAATTTGAGGGAAATATCAATTAAAATATTTAATATTTATTAAAAATACTTGCACATAAACCGATTGCATTTTGTATGCAAAATATATTTGCGCTAATCATATTTAAGTGAATGATTTAAACAAGATAATCTTTGTTAGAAGAGATTTATCAATGATTTTAAGGTTAACATGTAAGCATTGTCCTTTGTGTGTGTATAAACATGTTACATTATTTTATATTGATGACAACAAAATTACGAGTCTTATTTTTTTAAATAAATATTAAAACATTACATCATGTTACTTAAATGCATATATTCATCATTTTTTTGGAAATTATTTCAGAATTTTTGTTAGAAGATGAAGAAAAAGTTCGATGACACTACTGCTGAAACTACCACTGCTGTTAGCCAGAAATGGTACAAGGAATATCAGAAGACAGAAGGACCCTGCAAGCACTCCAAATCCGAAGCTGACATTCTGCATTTAAGGGATGATGGAAAAAGGTATTTGGATGCAGAAACCACTGCCTTTCAGTTGAAACAATCCAGATCGCATGACTCAGAAACAAAGTGGTTAAAAACTGTATTGCAACGAGGTACCACCTCGGATAAAATAGCAGCCAGTATAGTGCTGGTGCAAGATAATCCCAAATATAATCTCAGTCGTCTGATATCCCTGATATCTCAAGTACGAGGCGCCAAGCACAATCAATGTGGCATGATTATTACATCATTGAAAGAACTCTTCCTGGAGGATTTGTTGCACCCTAAATTTAAATTATTAAAATTAGAAGAACAGGACTTGGACAAACTCAATATAGAGAATGAATCAGATTCCATTATCAAGACAAACACTGCTAGAAATAGATTGTTGGCGCACTGGTATTTTGAGGATCAATTACGCGAACAGTACGAACGTTTTGTTCTGAATCTTTCCGCGGTGGCTTCCGATACGGTAGATACAAACCGTGAGAAAGCGATATCTGCGATGAGCGATTTGTTGATGGCTAATTCCGAGCAGGAGCACAAATTACTGGAGTTACTTGTGAACAAACTCGGTGATCCGAGCAGTAAAGTTGGATCTAAAGCTGTATTTTGTATAAATAAACTACTGTATGAACATCCGAACATGAAACTTGTAGTTTTGCGTGAAGTTGAAAAATTGTTATTTAGAAGAAATGTGGGCCAGCGTACTCAGTATTACGCTATATGTCTGCTAACACAATATGTTCTGAATAAAAACGATGAGGAAGTAGCTGCTACACTGATAGAAGTGTATCTTGCATTTTTCAAAGCATGTTTGAAGAAAGGAGAACCTGATAGCAGAATGATGGCAGCAATTCTAATGGGTGTTAGTAGAGCGTATCCTTTTGCCAAAATAGATTCGAAGATATTAAACGAACACATTGATTCTATCTACAAAGTGGTACATCTTGGATCGTTTAATGTCTCTCTCAATGCACTTAACTTGTTGCATCAGGTAAGTACCATGAAATAGCATTTGTTGCACTACATAGAATATTTATGCGTTTCCAGTTTGTATTAAAAAATAATTGCGTTTTCAGATAACAAGCAAGGACGAGTCTCAGGCGAACCGATTTTATTCGGCCTTTTATAGAAAGTTATTCGATCGGCAAATAGGAGTAGCGAATAAGCATGGGGTGTTTCTTAACTTGTTGTATCGAGTTCTTCAGAGGGATCAAAGTATACTACGTTCATATGCTTTTATCAAAAGGATCTTGCAGATTACATTTTATTTTCCTGCGAATATGGTATGTGCCATGCTCTACATTGTCTCCAAAGTTCTTCAAGGACGCAAAGACTTAAAACATATGTTACTTGAGCCATGTAAGGCTATTAAAGTCGAAAATGTCGTATGTGAAATAAATGATAGCTTATCAGATACGGAAGACGTTCGTGTAATGGAAAATGAAAACTCTATTATATTATCGAATATTATGGTTGGTGCTGATAGCGAAACAAAGTCGGATGTGAAGGAAGAGGCCGACGTAAAAATTGAGATGCAAGATATAAAATCATATGATCCTTTTTGTCGGAATCCTTTGTACGCGGGTGCAACCAAAGGGCTCAATGCCGAGCTTGAAGCGTTGTCTAGACATTTCCACCCGAGCGTTTCTTTATTCGCGAATCAAATTATTCAAGGTAACAAATTCTATACAATTTTTCTACAAATTTATACATCGTTTGCTATTATTCGACATAATATTTATGCATTTTTATATTTCAGGGAAATCGATCGAGTATACAGGTGATCCCTTGGAGGATCTGACGTTGATTCGGTTCTTGGATCGATACGTTTTTAAGAATCCGAAAAAATTGGAGGCCAAGAAAGTGCAAAAAAAGAATGATCCCTTGGCACAACGCGCCGGATATACGCCTAAGGGGATCCGATCCCTTCCGGTCGATAGCGCAGCATATCTCGATGAAAGAGAGGAGCGAATACCAGTAGACGAATTATTTCTATATCGATACTTGAAACAGAAGGATGAGATCAAAAAGCGTGTTAAGAGAGAAGATGATGACGAAGATGACAAAGATGCAGATAGCGTCAACAGCGAAGAATTTAATGATATGTTAGATCGTATGGGCGGCGGCCAAAATTTCGGCCAAGATTTTGACGATTTAGACATCGCGGCGGATATCCAACCTAGGAAGAAGAAAGGTAACATGTTTTTTGCATAAATTTGTATAAAATGTGTTTTATTGATTCATTGAGATAAAAGGAAACTTTGCTCAAGCTTCAATGTTTTGTATGTGTGTATAAATCTTATAAACGATAGATCTTACTAATAATGACGTTTATAATAGGTAAAGCGGATGAAGATTCTGATGACGACGAGGATAACGAAGATAATGTTAGTCAATCTGAGGACGATGATATCATCGATGCATCTGAAGATCTTGATGAAGATGTCGCGGATGACGACGACGACTTGCAAGATTTAAGCGATATTGATCTTGCAGATGTAGATGATGAAGATCTGAGTGATATTGAATTCAACGGTTCCGAAAACGAAGAGACTGTAGATGACGAATTAATTTCGAGTTTGAATAAAAAGTTAAACGCGAAGGGTTCGAAAAGTAAAGAGAAGAAAAGAATCGATAGCAATATATTCGTATCGGCAGAAAAGTTCGCTGAGATGTTGGAGGAACAAAATAAAACAAAGGGAAAGCACGGTGGTAGTAACGTTTTTAGCAGTAGTGACGGCGCTAGCGCAAAGCAGATAGATTGGGAAGTGAAACGACATCAACGGATGAAAGGATTATTTGGGAAAAAGCGAAAGTCTGTTCAATCGTCTAATAATAATTGGGCTAAAAAATTCAAACGATGAATATGTAATAAACATATTTCATAGACAACTTTACATTTGATTACAATAAACTTTGCTTTCCAATGACTTCTTCGTTTTATTTGAGGATCACTCTAAACGATGAAATAATCTAAAACGAATATTTAATTACTAGTGTATATATATAAAAGCTTATATCTTTTTCTATGAAGTTTTTAGGCAGAATGGTGTTTGTGTCACTATAATACTACACTATAATTTCGCTTTATGTCATTATTGTGCATAACAATTTATTTTCAATATAAACATATCTAACAAAACATGAGACAGACCAATGAGTACAACGCAGATCGCAATGCGTAATAAATTTAATAAATTATAAAACTATTACAGTTTTTAAATTCTAAATACACAAAATTTCGTACGTTTCGACTCATCCATTTGGAGTCATCCTCTGCGAACATGAGATATTCAAATAACCAATCATATCCCTTGTAAGATAAACGGTTACTGAATTCGACCGGTTAAACCGTTATTGAATTGAACGGTTAAACTAATTTTGAATTCAACATTTTTCAGATTTGATAACTGCATATATCAGCAGATATTCGGTATTCCGGTGGGCTCTTCTCTCTCTCGCCCATTATTGCACTTAGAAACATACGAAATTTTGTATTTAGAATTTAAAATGTATCAATTTTATAACTTGTTAAATTTATTGCGCGTTGCGATCTGCGTTGTACTCTCATTGGCCTGTCTCAAGTTTTGTTAATTTAGCAAGCCTATTAATACTTTTATATTGTTAAACATATTTAATGTTTATATTGAACTCATTAATGTGAATTCTCTTTTTATATAGTCAAAGTAATTAGCCATTAGAATGTAATATTTTAATTTGAATCAGAAAAATAATTTTTAAATGTTCAATAGATAAAATTAAATAAGTAACAATATAAAAAAAATGAAGTTCTTCATAACTTGTACTTATACTGCGCATAGTATTGCATTTAATAATGATAGCATGTAAAAAAAAGAAATTAATGATTTACAAGAATTCATATATCACTATTGCAAATTACTTTTTACAAGTTCTGAGGAATTGTAATCGAATTAGCAGTCTTGTATTAAATGGCTGGAATGGTGAAACCCAGTATTTATGCAAGCAAGAAACTAATTTTTTTCCTAATTGTTTTTTAAATTCCTGTTTTACTAATAATTAAAATGATTTTACATGTTATACATAATTATCAATTTTAATTTATTTATTTGAACAGCAAATCGCGTATATTTTAAGTAATTAAAATAGCAGATAATTTATATAGGTGTAACAGGTTGTTAACATTTTATATGACTACATGGTAAATACAAAAAGAATAAAATAATTAGAAGGAATCTATGCTATTAAAAAAAAAAACTGCTATTTAAAATATATTTTTAATAAATATATGTTGTGTACTGAAAGATGTGAAAGATATTATCTATGAAAGAGTAATACATTTTAAGATGTATCGGTGAAAATTATATAATTATTTGAAAACGTTCCACATTTCGAAAATAGACATATTATTAAGTGGTGATAATGTACGTATTTTCTTTTTTTTTAATCTTTGAACTTTCTTCAATTCCTCCTACATTATACCATTCTATATTAATGTGGTTCGAAAAATCTTTGATATATTTATTTTTCACCTACAAAAGTTAGAAAATTCGTAAATAACCTAGGATAATTGTTACAGGGGAATACTTTGCAATGATAAAAATAAATCGTGAAAAAACGCTGAACGCTACTCCGGGTCAGGTTTCGTCGAGTTTTCGTCATCATGAGCTGGGCTATGCCACGTGAGTCGTTCCTCATAAAATTTGATCACGATCTGTGGGCACTTTTCGTTAGCAATGCGTGCAGGTACCAGATCCGCATCGTCCGTTCCTTTCCATTTCATTAAGAACATCAGTTCACCGCTGGAATCCGTTGCTCCGATAATACGTTCGGGTTCCAGATTTCTATCAAATCCTATAAAGTTAAAGACATATTCACAATAGATTGAAACATTGGTTTGCTTCAAGTATTTTGATATCTTTTTTTAAAAAACGAGGAAAATGGTAAAAAAAAACTAAAAATAAATTAGAACCAAAAATTTTCGATGCTTCCCTTTACCTTCCAGCTTTTTTTCTTCCACTGCTGCTTTTTTCTTAGCCTGAGTGGGCGTCGGTGTATTATTGCTTTTTCGTTTCTTTTGTTCTTTCTCTTCATGACGTTTCCCAGATGCACTTCCGTCCTTCTTCCTCCGTTGTTCTTCAAACTGAGCAATCAGATCTGGGCAATCTAAATTTTCTTCTGGTTCCCATGTATTCTCGTCGTTAGAATATCCTTTCCATTTTAAGTAATATTCTACCTGTAATCCAAACAATGTTTTAAAAATTAAAATGACACCTTATACTGAATGATGAGATATAATGTAGTAAAATTTTACATACTTTTCCCTTCACAATTCTTCTGTCCAAAACTTTCTCCACACTGAATTCTTCTTCTGCTTCATCTGTCGGAGGAGAATCCTTCACTTTACTCATTGTATGTACTGCAAATGTAAAAATCAAATAAGTCTCTTTGTAAATACTTATAAAAACTAAAAGACATCTACCTAAAGCTTGTTTTCTATAGCTGAACTAGTATAAGCTTTTGGGTTGCACTTGTTCACTGCAAGTAGTGAAAATCTATGATTGCATTCGGCAGAGAAAACAGCTTTGTAACTGTTGTAAAATTCTTCAACGTGATTGGTTTTGCTTCCTTGTGGATCTAAATGTATAAACCAATCGTATTGAAGAATTTTACAATAGTTGCAAAGCTGCTTTTTCTGCTGAACACAATGGCTGCGTTCAGAAGAACGTTCATTTTGCAACTGTTGGAAGTTTCCTTCGCGCTAATTGGATCATACTTTTAGATCTAGAAGAATGGTCCTATCTCAGCAGACAATCATAAAACGGTTGCAAAACTGTTGAGTCTGCTGAACGCAGCCCATGATGTAAGGATACCAGGTGTTGCGTTGCATAATGGCGATAGCAATACTGGAAACAATCAATAAAATTTTTGCCTAAATTCACACTGCTACTTCGCAACCATGGGAACGCAACACCTGGTATCCTTACATTATGCTGAATACAGCATATAATTTACATAACATGAAGTATTGGTTTTCAGTACTCGCAGGGAATAAGGAAACGTAGCTTTTAGATAGATATCTATCGGAGGCAAAAGGAATCAGTAGCCCAAAATCAGATAAAGATACAAACAAGCTTAAGGAAGTAGATTTCAGAGCGAGGAACTGTTAGTCGTTTCGTTTTTGTGTAAGAATATGACAGGCTTTCATCTGATCGTACGCTTCAGTATTGTAAATAAAAGGACCGACGAGAAATTGCGCTAGGACGCAGACTCTATACCGGCGCGGCGTAGCGTGGTGTAGTATGGCGCAGTGTGATACACGGACGCGGTCGCACTAAGGCGACATCACGTAACGTATTGGTAATGCGATGCGAATTGGGATGACGAACGGGGTGGACCTGGACGTGGAATTATATGCGGCGACGACGAGCCGTGGCGTAATTGCGTGGAAATTATATTGCAAGATACGCCGCGACTTGGTCTAAAATGGCGGCATTGGCGGTCTAAAGTGACACGTCCGCCGGTGTTTCTCTTCCTCTCTTTTTAAGAATCGCGACATTGCTCGTGTCCCGTATAATTTCGTTGAAATTTGCGACTCAAGAGTGTATTTTAGAACATAAGGAACTTACCTAGGTCGTTTCAACGTTTAAAGATCTCGAACAATGATACTACGACGTGGTTTTTTCTCTCTCTAAATATCTCGTTGCGAGTGGCTCAGAGAAGCTCCAACTTCCGACCAACTGAAGTCGTTGCCGCGAAAAAGTCAGGCTGGCCAAGCTGTTGGCGTGAAAATTCCTCTGAAGGAGAAAATGGCTATCTTTCACAAAGTTCCTACAAATTGCTCTAAAATTTGTTCGCGTTGCTTGAAATTTTGCAATTTTTGTGTTGATGAGAGAGAGAGAGAGAGAGAGAGAGAGTTTTCAATGGCTGCGTTCAGCAGAGAAAGCAGCTTTGCAACTGTTGTAAAATTCTTCAATA